ATGCACTTTTGCAAGCTTGCAGTGTTTTTTTAATCACATACCAGTCCCTTATCTGCCACTGATAATTTTCTGAAGTATTTTTCATTGCCGTACCGCACAGCATTCGGTTAGTATCTCTATTCATTAACCCTTCTCAATCTCGTAAATTCCGCTTCATAAAAATTTTTGCGAATAAATGAAGGTAAACCATTTTTTTCAATTCTCGACTTGACTTTTTCTTCTACAAACATTTTTGTGCTTGAGTTTAGAGGGATTTTCCTAGAATCGACCAATCAATATGGTTATTTCTCCTTTATTATTATAGCTGAAATGGGCTTGTAAAAGTTTTTTGATGCGCATAATGCAGCTTTAGCTCTAGCTCTAGTTTGATATTCCTTGTTTTCATTTCCGTTACGAATTTGGAATGATCTAGAAAATCGAAGGAATGATGACTGAATTGAACAATCTCCAACAGGATCTTATCCAGTCCAATGGTCGCCTTCAAATCACCCCTGATGATGCCACTATCTTAGCAGGTACACCGCACTGCATTGTATCGTTAATTTCTTTTGCAAGGATTCATTCATCTGCATCCTGAAGTTCTTACTTGAGAGAACATTTTTAGGCAAACGATTAATGACAGATCTCAAGAAATCCGACAATGTCCATCATAGCGTTGCAGCAAAATCTCTAAAAAGCAAAATTGATGAGATAGAGGTAAGCTTAATTGGAAGATATTATTCTACAATGGATCTAAAAATAAAGTAGTGAACTTTTAGCACCTCGCTTCCTTGCCGCAAAAAGAGGCAGAGCTATCGAAGATAAATGCAGAAAACGAAGAACGATGTCGGATGCTTGAAGAGCACGCCGAAGGAGTGAACAGGTTTGCTTTTCATAATTCATAATTTTGAAGCTTTTGCCCTTTATTAGTTACTGTGATTAGAAAAATGGGAGATTGTTATAAGCACCTTTCCTGCGAAATTATCTGCTGCACATCCCGCGAAAAAGCTAACGAAAATAGTGAAAAGATGCAAAGAAGTATCAGGTTGAACCAAAAATTCTCGGACATTTTCAGAGTAGATC